TCCTGGTCATCATTATGAGCAGCATGCTCATCGTCATCCTCATCATCCTCCTACTGATCAGAATCGTCAACAACATCGTCAGTATCATCGCCGACACAGACAACAACAACATCATCCTCATCATTGTCTTCGCTGGGTTCACTATCATCCTCAGCCACATATTCGACAGCATCATCATGACCATGATCGTCATCATCACTGGTATCATCATCTAAGTCATCAATTTCCTCATCACCATCCTTATCATCCCCAAACGCCACCTTCGTCACCACCACCCTCCTCCTTATGCTCGCCATCACAAGCAGAAGTATCCTAATTATCGTCGTCGTCATCCTGATCATCACCATCCGCATCCTCGTCCTCAGCCTCATCCTCATCATCACCATCATCACCATCATCCTCATCATCATCCTCATTGTCCTTATTGTCCTCATCCTCATTCGCACCATCATCGTCATCATCACCATCCTCAGCATCCCCATCATCATTATCACAACAACCATCATCACCATCATCATCCTCATCATCATTATCACAACTATCATCATCATCATCACCATCACCATCACCATCACCATCATCACCATCACCATCATCATCATCATCATCATCATCATCATCATCATCATCATCATCATCACCATCATCATCATCATCATCATCATCATCATCATCACCATCGCTCGTCCTTGTCATCGTCATCCTCATCCTCATCCTCATCCTCATCATCCTCCTCCGAGGGCGCCTCGCCGCCGCCCCTGGGTTGCGCCCTCGCGGCCAGCTCGCCGTGCAGCGCCCGCAGCACGGCCCTCGTGGCGCGGCCAGGGCAGTGGTCGCCAGAGATGCGCCGCTGGCGCCGATCGATACGCCGATCGAAGCTCGAGGCTCCTGGATACTGGTTCGAAGCTAGATGCTCGAGGCTCGAGGATCGAGACCCGAGGCTCGAGGATCGCTGATCGAGGATCGATGATCGAGGTCGCTGGGCGCGGCTGCCGCCGGCCGTCGGCGGCTGCCGTCGGCTGCCGATGCGCCGATCCAGACCCGAGGGCTGAGGTTTGTTAGTGCGTTTGTGTTGTTGGGGGACCCTCTGGGTGGCTCCTCGTCAGCACGGCTTGATGCACCCCGAAATTATAGCCAGGACGCACAAGAGGAGGGTCTGTATTTTTCGCGGTAGCGGCCGTCACCGGCCTCGGCCGCCCCCGCCTCCCTCGCCCAGGTACTCTCAAGATTCGTGCTGGCGCCGTCTAGGAATGTTTCGGTATAGCCAAGAAGCTCGAACAGCAGATGCACGTTGAGATCTGCTGCGGCACAGCGCACACCATGGGATGGATATGCAAGGACCTGCCATGGATAGCTACGGACGGTTCAGCGCAACGTCAGGGATGTCTGAGAATAGAATATGGTGTTGCTCTATCCTCTGCGTTCCTTCCTCCGGTTCCCGTCCTCCCTCATTCTCCTCCTCTTGTGGTCGTCGTCCTCCTCATTGCATTGCAAGGTGCTTCACACAAGGACAGGAGAGCAAAGGAGAGAAATCGAAAGGAGGTGTGGCGAGGCAGGCGGGGCCAGGCCGAAGTGATCTGTTGATTACTTATTTTTTTGATCCGCGGGTCGAGAGCGAGCCTCTTCCGGTCGAAGCTAAGCGGGCCGCGCACAGCTTTTAATTGACACAGGGGGGAAGATCTGTTGATTTCACGTCTGTCACCAATGCGTGCTCTGGGGGCGGCCTGGGCGCCCCTGGGTCCCAGGGGGGAAGTGGCCTCGTCGTCGTCGATTTCCTCCTCCTCCTCCTCCCCCTCCTCCCTCCTCCCTCCTCCTCCTCCTCCTCCTCCTCCTCCTCCTCCCACTCCTCCTCCTCCTCCTCCTCCTCCCCTTCCTCGTCCTCAGGATCCTCCTCCTGTCATCCTATTCCTTCTTAGTGCGTTGCAGAGTGCTTCACTGCACAACACGGTGGGCACCACATCGCTGGGGCGCATTAAGGGCGTGGGGAATGGCGTAAGCCCATGAAATACACGCGTGCCACTTCCAGCCAAACTTTACAAGCAGCGCACTGCATGTAACCTGGATGTTCGGATTATGACCGAGAGTATCAGACTGGGTGTCTTGAGCATCCCAGGAGGCTGGAACCACACGGTGGTTGGAGTTACGTGCGATACATGCGCAAGTCAGTTGCAGGATACACGTTCGGATGGCTGGCTTACTTAGCCACACGAGGGCCGAAACCTTTGAACGACATGCGGCCACATGTGTATACAGTTCTCGCCCAGGCTGAGCGCGTGATGTGTATACAGCTTCCAGGTAAGAAACACACTTGACAAATGCCCCGTTTTATTGGATTCCAGTTCCCCAACGACGCATGATTGCAAGGGAACAGCCGTCGGGTTAAAAATTCTGAAAACAGATGTACAGCACCACAACGTGCCTGGCCTGGAACACAAGTAAAACGAGCATAACGAGAGGAGGAGGAGGAGGAGGAGAAGGAGGAGGAGGAGGAAGACGACGACGACGAGGCCGTTTCCCTTCGTGGGCCCACCCAGACTCCTCCCAGAGCGCGAATCGACAACAGTAGTGTGATCAAACATGTCGTGCGGCTCACTCGCCCCCTCCCTCGTCCCAGCTTCCTCCTCCCTTCTCTCGTCGTTGTGTAAAGCACCGTGCAATAGAATCAAGAGGACGAGGACGACGAGAGAAGGAACACGACGACGACGACGACGAGACAGATCCCGACACGCATCTGTTATCCGAACTGTCTTTTGCTACTACTACGTGTTCCCAGACAGCGCCTGCGCGAAACGTGGCGCTACGGGCCACTGCTCCCCCCCCCCAGGCAACGCCCGCTGTCGCCTGAGAATAGAAGGGCGCTTCCTGAGAGGACAGGTGATGGAATAGAGTTTCGATCACAAAAGCCAGGCCCCCTCGCACATTGGAAAAATCACGACGGAAAGCCATTGGTAATTTTCTGCTTCTGGGGGTACTCGCCGGGGCCCGGGGCCGTCAAGAACCAGTTCGGGATGAGAAGGCAAGTCCTAGGAAAAGGGTCGAAGCCCTCGGGTCCAGGTTGTGAAAAATCACGACGTCTGCGGGGGCGAATATCCACCGAAGCTGATGGCCGATTGGGCGTGTTTCTGGCGTTGGCCTGGGCTGCGATGGCATCGACGCCCTGGGGAAGGCAAGGCGAAGCAACCGTGGGCAGCCAGTCCAAGACCGAAGTATTTACTGCAGTCAGGCAATATCGTAGTGGGCACCTGGCATCACCACTCCAGACAAAAGACCTGTGGCCAAGAACAGAAGTCCCCGTGGCGAAGCAATACTGGGATATAAAACCTACCAGGCGAAGGGCCTATATCTAAAAGACAGAAATGTCGACCGATCGAACACATGGTTTGCATGCGAATGCCTCGCATGGGGAGATCAGCACATGTGGTGACACCATCAAAACCAAACGTACGAGGTCACAAAGTACGCGCGGCACGGGCGAATGCATTGCCATCAGCCTATGATAGTACCCTGCGCTGTGGCCAATGCGATGCCCTTTCTGGGCAAACCTTGACCCGCTCCCGATAGATGAATCTTGTTCCCGACGTCGGACCGAGACGTCCAGAGACTCGAGCATGTCTATCCCCTGGTCGGTATCTTCGGCCCATGGAACACGATGTCGGGACCCGCGGCCATCAAACATCGGCTCGGGAAATGGAAAGCCGGAACCGGCGAAGGGGTCGAGAGGTCTGAGGCCCCGAGGCTCGAAGACTGAGCCGTCGGAGGTCTGGGAACGGCTGCGCTCCGTCGCCAACGGACCTCCAGCGCACAGACCGGGTGTTCGTTGCACGGGGGGGCATTCACCGGGGGATGAAGAAACGTGCACACTTCGGGCACCAACTGGGCCCGCGGAGGCAGTTTAGGGCACCTTGAAGGCCACTTTCCTGAAATACTGTCCCCTCAAGTTGACCGCCCCCCCCCACAGTGGCGGTCCGCGTCGGGCGCAGAGGGAAGGGGGGGGCCTGAGTTGGCCGCGGAAGCGGCAGGGTCGTTTTTGTTCCCCCGCTTCCAAAAAACTACCCCTTCAAAACGGACGCAATAAAGAAACGGCGACCGCAAACGGCAAAACGCCTGCTTTGATCGCAACCAGAACAAGAACCGGGACAGAAACGGAGACGGACCCTGGGAAAAATCGCAGCAGAAGCCAGCCAAACAACTGCACCACGCAAACGGCAGAGGAACGGCCCTGTCGCTTCCAGGGCCAAAGTCGGGGGGAGGGCTTCCTCGCGCCCCCCTCCGCGAACCTCCGGCCAGACCAGCCGCCCAGCTCCGCCCAGTCCCCTCCCCCCCCCGCAGTCATCTGCGGCGCGTGCGGGCGATTCCCAGCTGGATGCCGTGTGGTGGGGCTGGAGCTCTCCTGCCAGCCCGGGGAATTTGAGCCCCCTGGCGCACGGGCTGCATGGAGTCGTGCATGTGCGCCGGGGCACCCGCCTCACAAGCTCGGGCCAGCGGAGGTCCTGGAGCAGGCTGCGGCCCTGGACTTACGCCGCACGTGAGCAGGCGCAGACTGGCTCGAAAGCAAGTGGTAATAAACCCTCCCTTCGGGGCTCGGGCTTAATCCCATGTCCGAGGCGCCCGCCTAATCCAACCATCGGGGCGCAGAGGGAAGGGGGGGGGGGAGCGCCCTCCCTTCCCCCTGCAAGCCTCCAGCCCCGCCGCCCCCTCCCTCCCAGCCCCCCCCCCCCCCCCCCCCACCCACACCCAGTTCGTTTCCCTCGCCCGCCCCTCTGCCACTCCCCTGGGGCGCGGAGGAAGAGGGGGGGAAGCGCTCCCCCCCCTCCCCCCCCCGTCTGAGCAGCCTCCAGCCCCCCCCCGTCCGCCCAGCTCCACCCTCCACCCCCCCCCTCGTCCGCCCATCCACCAGCTCGGGTCGCCGAGGGGCCTGGGCGGCTGGGGGGGGGGGAGGGGGCCGCGGGGCGCGGCGGGATCCTCCGCTCCTCCAGCTCCGCCTTGGCGGACTCCGCCTCCTCGGGGCCCGCCGCGGCGCGGGCGGCCAAGAGCCCTCCGGGGTCGACCCGAGCGCCGGTGGGCATCCCAGCTCAAAGGACTGGATCGCTGGAGCTGGCACGAGCGACGCAAAACAACTGGCTTTTCGCGAGATGGCATAGCAACCTGACGGGGTGATTTGCGCGGACCACCAGCGCGGCACGCTACGTTGGAAACGAGGGCGCTCACGCGCGACCTTACGCGGGTGCCCTACGCGCGAATGTCCGCGCGGTCGAACCCGTTTTTCAGCGTGGCTCACATGACGATGACGATGACGACCGCCAAGAAAAAACGATCATCGGATCTCAATCCAGGGCGGGTCCCAAAGTCTTGCTCCCCAAGGCCAATTCTTTTTTACATGGCCCAGGTACCCGAGAACGGCCCCTGGAGGCCAGAACGGAGGAAACTCCAGGACTGAAAGTGCCCGAAGCCTGGGACGATGGCGATGACGATGACGCTGACGATGACGATCGCAAAAAATCGTCAATCACCGAATCTCGATCCTCCAACCTCGATCCTCAATCCATGGACGGGTCCTCCCGACGACAGGAAAGCTTTCCCGGAAGCCCAGACAAGCCCCCCCGCCAAACATCTAGGTCTTCGACGTCGATCCTGGTCGCTGGAGGTCCCCCGAGGTCTCAGGAGGTGCCCCGAAGCCTTGGGAGGTCGGGAGAAGTTCACCAGGGGCCGCCACCGCCTCCCCCCCCACACGGCTGTCCGGACACACCCCGAACATCGATCCCCGATCCCCGACCTCCACGGACATATACCTCGACGATCAAGCCCTTGACGGCCGGGTCCCACGAAGGGGCGGGTGCTCAAGGCCGTCCACGGCGACAGCGCATCCGAAAACTGGCCGAGTCGAGAGCGAAGCCGAAACCGAGCGAAACCGAACCTGCCAGAGGAGGCCGAGAAGGAAGCGGCGGCGCGGCAACGGCGCCATAGCCAACCGAAACAGGCCGACCGAGTGTGACCGACTGCGACGCAGCATAAGCGACCGAGCGCAACCGACGCCAACGACGACGACGCCGCCGCCGACGACGACGATGACGACGACGAGGACGAGGACGAGGACGAGGACGATCACAAAGACAACGACGACGACGAAGATGACGACGACATCGACATCGACATCGGCATCGACATCGGCATCGACATCGACATCGACATCGACGTCGACGTCGACATCATAATCATCAGCTCGGCATCATCATCATCATCATCATCATCATCATCATCATCATCATCATCATCATCATCATCATCATCATCATCATCATCATCATCGTCATCATCATCATCATCATCATCATCGTCATCACCGACACCGTTCAACGGATCTATCGCATTATTCCCACCCATCCATGAGTGAGCGGGGTACTGGAAAGAAAATTGAACATGTGTATAGAACCCTGTACCACCACTCCGCCCCCATTTGGGGCGCGAGTCTGGGGGGCCAGGGAGAGGGGCACGAGTCTGGGGGGCCGGGGAGAGGATATCTTAACAGCTCGCGCATCCCCCCGGACACCCAAAATAGATAATGGCAGATGTGGCCCCGCAGAACCGCGCGTCTGCTCGGGCGAGCATTTGGGTTTCGCGACGACTCGACGTTGTCCGACCTCCTCCGCCCTTTCAGCCACCATTCGCATTTCTTTAGTTTCGCCTCCTTGATCCCCGCATCTTTGTCTGGGGAGGCGTCGCTACCTACAGTCTGCAATGGACTCCGCGAAAAAGACCGAACACTTACCTTGCTCGCTCCTAGCCCGGAATACCAGCTGCGAAAACGCGCCCGCTATGATAAGCTTCTCCACCGCCAATTAAACATTGGACAGCTTGATGAACGACAACAGACTAAGGAGGTCAGGGCGAACCCCACACCAACTACAGCTGCCTGGATGCCAGGGCTGCGCCCATTCAAGCAAGAGCGGGAGGGCGGCAACTTTCACAGTGCGCTGCGATCGTTGGCGATGCATCGCGCTTTGTCTCGCGCGCCACCTTGATTGTGCCCGCCATTGCGCCTTGCCTTGCTGACACCGCATCTGCTAGGAGGCCTGTCAGACTGAGGATGCGATCCCAAGAGTAGGACTGAGTAGGCGTGGAACGATAGACGCGAGACACGCAGAGGGGGGGGGCATCAGTGACCGCGCTGCACGCGCTCGCAACACCGATGAAAGTCGGCCAGCCAGCGACGTGAGCACGTGCTCCCGACGCGACTGCCCACTCAACTCGAACTGTCTGCATCCAGACTGTCTCTGCGGGGCCCCTTCTTGGTGGCATTGAAAAAACACCACTGTCGATGATCGCCTCTCTCTCCCTGGCTCTTGCATGCATTAGTAGTCCACCCGGAGAATACCCGCGCCAAGTGTTGACGGAAACCGACGGGCCTGCGCCACTCGGCTGGCTTCCGAAAAAAGCGCAACCACAGGACAGTGCACCCAGGATGGCGTAGAACCCAATACCATCAGAACACCGAAATGGCGACTCGGGCAAGAGAGAGAGAGAGCAGAACCGCAGAGACACTGATAGCGCCTCGGGCGATACCCGTCCGCAGAGAGTGGCCATCCTGAAGCTCCTGGGAAGGTTGACCATGTCCCGTGGCCAGCTCGGCTCTGGAATTGCCCCCTCGCTGGGCCAGTCACAGCTTGAAGCTTGTTCTCCAAATAGGCTTCGAAACTCCCGGGACACCCGACCAATTCTGATCTCCTCCTGGGCCAACGAGGCTGATGTGCAAGATGTAGACTCCCCGCAATCTGCAGGGAGTAGGGCATGCTTTCTGTCTCCCGCTGCCTCCGTGTAGGTGGGAGCGCACTTGGCTCCGTCAGCTGTAGCCTCCGCGCGCAGATCGTGCCGCTGAGTCGAACGATCAGGCCGCCCACGAGGCAAACGCTCTCGGGCATGATGGTGCGCGAGGGTCCTGAGGTTTGACAATGCCTGAACAGCTGGCGCGGGAACGTTAGGGATGCTCCAGTGGCAGGGCAGCCTCCAGACACCCGCACCAGAACTCCTGCCCGCCAGGGAAGTGGCGCGCGCAAATACGTCCGCCCTGAGCTGTCTTGAGACTCGACTGAAGTAACGAACACATATACTGACTGCGAGTGTAAACCTTGCCAGGGAAGCTCTGGAGGGTATTTATATGCCCATTCCAAGACAACTCACACCAATCCCTGGAGTATGTCTCGAAACCTGCCTGTAAATGGTCACGCTCCAATAGATCCGGCACACAATGGCCCCCAGAGACCTCCAAGGACTGAATCGGACCCGAAAAGCAATCCGACAGAGGGCGTGGAAAGAGCACCTGTTTCAAATCGGGCTTCACCGAACCTACGCACGGCAGCAGCTGGCTGGAGATCCGGAAATCAGCGCAGCAACGGTCCGGAGTGCTGGACACGAATGTCTAGGAGGGAGCGGGAATACAGAATTGACCGTTCAACATGCGAGGGCCGAAATCGTCTCGAAACACATTGGGCGCGAAATTTTGGTCACCAGTCAATGGGCTGCGTAGATTTGGACGAAGGATGTCGCCCCGAGGCTTGTACACAGAGAGAGGATTGTGCCACCGAACATTTACATGCGCGCGCAGGGATACATACCTCAGCACACTCGCCACCTCGTGAGGCGACCAGGTAAGGAACCCAGCAACTGGCCTAACCCTGCTTGCGCGAGGCTTTCTTTGGCATGAAGATTATGCTCTTGAGCATGCAAAATGTTGGCACTGGTGCCCTTGATTGAAGACGCCGCTCCACGCCGGGAAGCTTTTGCATCCACCGTCTGGATCAGGAACGGGCCTCCCATATCGTACTGACACTGCCCATCTGGCTCTCTGGCCGCCGCCGCCGCCACAGCGCTCTCTTCGCGCCGCCGCTGCTGTGATGGGACCGCCTGCTCGCACTCCGTTTCCTCCGCCGTTCTCCTCCCCGCGCGAGGTGCTGGTGGCATGGGAGCGTCGGCCGCCGCAGCCCCGGCTCCTGCCGCCTGTCCCTCGGCCTGTTCAGCGCACTCTTCGGGCGGCGCCGCCGTTCCCCAAGCTGCCGCTGGAGGGCCTGGCGGTTGAGAGAAGTTCCACTCAGCACTGACAGCTTGAGCGAACTCTACCACGTGCTGGTCCAGGGCTGTGCGGATGTGCGGGTGCAACTTCAACCTCCAGTATATGTGGCCCGTGAGGTAGCCATTGGGTTCGCCTGCGTCCTGCACGCCTGCATGCCACTCATGGCCACCATCTCCACCCCTCTCCTCCGAAAGCTAGAAAAAAGTGAATACATCCAAGTAGGATGATGTGCGTAGTATGGGTCTGCGTGGACCCCCCTAGCCGATGCTGGTCCCGCCAGTGCCTGCTGAAGCAACTAGTGTACCTTGGTCTCAAGCTCGCCCGACATGGAACACGACGCAGTCAAGTCCGCCTCCACCAGCACCTTACGTACCTCCAGGTCCACAAGCACTTACCCCCCCTTGCTGACGTAGGCCTCTTGCTGCTCCAGCAGCCTCTGGAGCTTACCGAGCGTGGCAGTGTGGACATGGTAGAGTTGCTCGGTGCTCTTCTCAAAATCACGTTGAGCTGGGAGCCGATCCATGACAGCTGAGACAGCCTCGGCTGCCTCGGTCTCCTGCATATGCGCCGAAAGACTCAGTCATCTCCAGGTTCGCCTTCAGCAAATCGCAGGTGTGCTGCAACTGGTTGATATGGGAACCGATCGGTCAGTCCTTGTCCTTTCCTTTGACACATCATCCTTTGCACGCCCAGTTTTCTAGTAAGACGCCGCGGCTGGAACGCTCTCCCACTGCTGGCCGCACTGCCACCACCACTGGTGACGCATGTGGACCTGCGCAGAACAATCCGTGCACTGCCACGAATAGTCTGCCTGGGATGACGAGCCGGCTGCTCTGCTGGGCGCAGGCGGGCTCTTACTCTGGGAAGTGTGGCCTTTGCTAGTGCTCTTCGCGTTGCTCCTGCCCTTGCCATCGCTCTTGCCTCCCGTTTCACTCG